GGGGTTGGGGCCAGCCGAGGAAAGCGGATCGTCTCGGGAGGCGCTAAGCCACACTTCCATAAACTGAAAATATCCATTCACAGAATGGCTCTCCTATTCCGTTCAAAAATAGCCTTGTCAGCAGTCCAAATGTTACGTGCAGGTTGGCACTTCGAACGGGAGCCCGCGCTCGAGCCTGCAGGGTTTCCGGGAATTCCAGATTATTCCCGCCGAAATGGCAACCGTGGTTACGGGTGGCGTCGCGACGCTTACCGACCTGTCATGGCTGCCAGTTCTGACGAGAAATTTCGCCTATCAATTTTAATTTCGCGAAAGGACATGAAAATCTCCTCGTGGCGATTCTGCTGCATGAGTCCGAAACAACAACTGGACCGAGTTTATCAGATAAGAACCAACCCACATTCTCGGAAGAACAGAATTGAGAATGTTTTTGAGTTCCTGTAGTCGGCTATTTTCTCATTCCAACAATTCAAAGTCGAAAAAAAAGTAGTTTGTGAAAAGAGGGTTTAATGTTTATTTTTTACATTGATTTTTGTGAAGGAATAAAACTTATTTTTCTTAATTTCAACTTGATTGGGTTGAGTCTTTTTAGAAAAACTCGGTCTACTTACGGCACAGAAATCATGTCCAAGAAATTGAAAATAAAATACAAATCGGAGCGAAATATAATTACAACGGACGTGTTTATTTTATCTATCGCAAGCTTTTTTCGCGATTTTATTCCAAAAAATAGCTCGCCACGGGATCAAAGTTAAAGAGGCGCTAACTTCGACTGGGTGACAACTATTTAAGGTGCCGTCGCTTTTGATCTGTTCCGTAGCCGCTTTTCGGTTGTTCTTCAGCACTCTAGAGGACGAAACGATAGTCGATCGAAAAATTGAAGGTTTCTGGATTTTAAGGCATTTCTTGAAAATTTCCAAGCATGACATCACGTTTAGGTATGCCAAGTATTCATTTTCATCAAGAAACATTTTTAATACGTCTACAAGTACATCTCAAGTAAAGAATCAAAGAAAAAACGATTTGCGATACCAACTTGGAACCTACTTTTGAAGTAGTTTCTAAGTATGTTTCATGGTCAAATTTTGTGCTCCAATACCTGACGCACCACAGCGCGATGCGATGCTCAGATGATCTCCAAAATTTTCCTAAAATCTAAAAAAGATCGATGGATCGATCGGCTATTGTAACTCCCTCCGAAGTGCAAGACAACCACAAGATAATGGATAGAATAAAAGCTCAAAAGGAACAAGGCGCATTAAGTTACGATCGTCATTTGCTTACGATACTCTTCCTCATCAGAAAAGGATCAGTGGCGTGGCGTGCTTTGCGATATATCGATTGCTATGCCATTTAAACCCATGGTAAAGAATCGATTACTAATGTGCTCGCTGCGAACATCCTGTTTATCGATCCTTTTCCAAAGGTTAAATGGCATAGCAATCGATATATCGCAAAGCACGCCACGCCACTGAAAAGGATGCTATTGACTTGTTGATGCTGGAGAAAACTTAAAGGATCATTTGGTGACTTAGCCGGATTCTTAATGACCGTGCCTTCTTTTATCCTACAACATCAATTTTAAAGCGACTATTTAAAACCATGCACAGTGTTGCAACACCGTAGACAAGCTTTCTGTGTATGTTGTTGCCCTTTCAAACAAATATAAAATTGGCGGGCGCCCGCGTGGTAAAATCAAATTTCCTCGGAAGAGGACCAGGCGAGGCGCTTGGAACAGATCGGGCGTTACCATCTCACACCGTGATACATGTCTACAGATACCAGACAAGTCGGGTGCAATATCGCAAAAAGCTAATTTCAGAAGTTAACATCTACTTATCAATTCTCTTAAATTAACGCAACTGTGGTGGAAGTGTGGCTGAAGGGGGATTGTGGTAGGGGGAGGCATTTCAGTTTTTACTCTAATCGGAACAAAGGAACACTCAAGCTGGACTCAAAACAAACATAGCTTTGGTATAATGTTCAATTTACAAAAATAATAGTTATTTAAACTTTAAATAATAAGAAAAACAACAATAAACAAACCAAGAAAAAACAAATAAAAACCAACATGCAAAAATGGACGGGAAAGTCGTGCTCTCTGGTGGCACGAGCATGCACTACGTTTCGCACTCATTCGGTACAACGAGTGATCCTACTAGCTTTAAAACAATTCGTTTGGTTTGCTACACTTCGGAATGAGACTCGAAACACTAAGATCCCTAGGTTCCTTTGATTTCCAACTTAACAACTAATGACTGAGAAAGTGACGTCTCTGATACACATTGTTAAAAAATATACAACTAATATACTTGAGATAATGGCACTTGGAAAAAGTACCCCTAGTACGAAGTTGTACCAAATGAGTGAAGAAGATAGACTAGTCAAAAACGGACGTTCCCGCCAAAACGTTGGTCAAGTCGTTACACTGCGCAATGTCCATTCAAAGTTCTCCGCACTTCGCACAATCAGTAAAACTGTTCACAGAGAGAAGAAAGACGACAAACAAATTTGGACGGACTCATGTAGAAATTCGTTTCAAACAATAACAGTGATCCTCTATGTGAAGTGAGTTATTTGAATACAAAATTTAAACAATCATAGAGTAAAGCCAATGAATTCTGAATGTTCGATTTTTTTTCACTTGGTTTGGTTACAAAAGTCAAAGAACATTGGAATTGTTTTGTTTTCGCAAAAAAGTATGATTTTCAAAATAATTTTCACAGAGGAAGGAATTTAATTCTACTTAGCCCAGTAGCCAGCATATGTTGTTAGCTGCCCTGAATTACGAGCTTACGATTATAAGTTCTTTTGGTTTTGATGATTTCTGAATGGTCATGACAGAACTGCCACCACATTATTGCATTTGATACTGTGTTATCTTTTAACAAAAATAGTCATGTCCGAAATTTTTCAGTACAAACTGAACTAATTTACTTTAGCAGGTCGAAGATGAGCCTGTTAACTTATTGAAAATTGAAATTATTAAAATCGTTTGAAACAAACGTATCATCTCCAACGAACATCTTTATACAGTGAGATCATAAAAAGTAAAAGCGAAAAACTAGACGGGAAGACGAGCACTAAAAGCTCTGGAATTTTGCGCTGGCAGACGCATCAGGCTGATAAGGAATCGGCCAACAAATCGATTAGCTTCACAGTGTTGTCAGCTCAACGAGAAAATTTCGCTTTCAGGCAAATTTCCATTCTCTTATTTCAGGTAGAGCACGGTGCTCCGGGAAGTACGGCTGAGGGCGGCAATACTGTGATTTTATGTCCATTAGTTACCTGGTCCTCCCAGGGCGGCTGCCAAGGCGAAATTCCGGCGTAAGAGCTTCTTGCGTTAAGCGCTTGAAAAGAGAAACTTTGAGAGCAAGATTTATACGCGAGATTGGTAATCCTCGCTACTGGGATGTGCCAAAGTGAAGGTCGTTGTTTTGTCTCTTTCAACTCAACTTCAAGTACTTGATCGATCGTACATTACAAATTTTAAAAGAAAATTTGCGGCGTAAGTGGGTTGGTATACCACTGCAATTATTGAAACAACCGCCATGATAAACATCAAATTACACAGAAGAACTACTTGTTTGTATATTCTCACTCATGTCCAACAATAAGCGACGTCATAATTTTAAAGCGTGATTTTTCTCCTACGAGAGCAGTTCACGTCAATTTTTTCGGAGCTACGAAAAATTTGAACTGTTTTTCGCTTTTACAACTGGTTTAGAAGAGTCGGATTTTGAATTTTGCCTTGACTGGTTCCTTCGACAAATTACGAAGGGAAAGAGACACATTTTTCTCGATTGTAAAATTATTAACTCTTGTTCAGAGCTTGCTAAGCTGGACCAGATGAAAACTAGTCGCTTACAAGAATCAGAACTGAGAAAAATGAGTTACGTCAATTTTTACGCGATTTGAAGTGCGGGTGAACTTGGATGAAAAGCGCTGGCGAACTTGCAACGTTGCCGACGATTCAGCAAAGGATCACTGGATGAGATCAACAAAACTCCTTGCGAGGAATCGAGCCGGGTTGACGGGAAGCGCCGAGTGTTTGGGGGTGTGCAAGCCGAACATACTCAACTTCTCAGATTCTTTTAAAACAAATTGAAACGTCCGTTGTTTTGACGTCAGTTTGTCCGTTGTTTCAACACACAAAAAAATTAATTCAAAACATTTTATAAATCATGAGTTGTTTCCATACACAACACCATTTTCGAGAAAATCTGTAGCAAAAATGTCCGTTTCCAATTACGTCATCGACAACTCTCTATGGTGCCCAAAATACAAAACACCTCCGTTTTTTTCCTCTTTGAAACTAAATTCGATAGATTCAACGAGAGTTAGCCTGCCTGCCTTACATGTTGCCGAATTTTCTCTTAAATGTCATTTGTTTTTGGGAGAAAACTAAAGCCCACAAAGTTTTGAGCTTGCCATAATTTTATCCTAGATTATCAAGATCCAATTCTCAGCAGCTCAAGTTAGAATTTTACTCAGTTTCTGTAAAAACAAATAAAACAGAAGAGGAAATCAGGCGACAGGTGCTGTAGTTAGACTGACATGGATTGCATACGTCGGAGAATGGAGGTGGTGAATCTGAGAAATTGAGTGCGTTTGACGGAAGCGCGTACAAGAATCAACAGACGAAACATGGAACAAGTAGAAAGTGAGGATCACATCAACACTAACATCAAGATGAAGATCAAGACTACAACACTAGAACACTAGAAGATTGTAGGAGGACAGGAGATTGGAGGCATTGCAGGCGCAGACCTCATCTTTGGGGGTGCGAGTGGGACATGTGGGTGTACTGCGGGTGGGAGAGCGGGGAGGGGCAGGGGGGCTGGTTGTAGCCGGTCATGATGGGGGCCGGCGAGGAGCAGGGGACGGCGCCCATCATGTGGTGCTGGTGCGGGGAGGCGGGGTGGTGGTACTGGTGCTGGGCCTGCGCCTGGTGCGACATCCCGTAGCCCATCTGCCTTACTTTTTGCTCGTCGTCGCCGATGTTGTAGGAGAGCTCCGTCTCCTCGAAGCCGGTGGCCGACATCCGCTGGTCGCCGCCCGAAGAGGAGCACGGGTCCGGCGAGTTGAGGCACGTCTGGATGAGCGCTTTCCCGGCCTCCGAGGTGATCATCGGCTGCAGCTTCCGCGTCGCGAACGTGTACACGTGCCCCGTCTCCGAGGCCACCAGCAGCATCACCTGGGTACCCGTCAGCGTCGCCAGCTCGTACGCCTGAAACACGCCATCATCACCACTCATCATTACAAACGTCATAGATACACCGAAATATAATCCTTCATAAGATTTTCGGAGCCCGGTTAACCCAAGATGAAAACACGGATCAAGCTGCACAGAGAGAAAAACCTCGTGCGTGGGACTCGAAGTTTAGATCATATGGTTCTCTGAAGTTTTCGGATTGAGCATCTGAACCCTTTAGGTCTGTAGCTGTCGAGGTTCGGATCACACATCTGAAACTTCAGTTCTTACATCTGAAGTACTTCAGATGTGAGAACCGAAGTACTTCAGATGTAAGAACTGAAGTTTCAGGCGTGTGATCCAAACCTCAGCAGCTGGACCTGAAGTATTCAGATGCTCAATCCGAAAACTTCAGAGATCCATATGACCTAAACTTCGGGTCCCACGCACGAGGTTTTTTTCTCCGTGTGCGCGTTGATTCTTAACATTGTGTTGATTCATCACAACTCATCATTACACACATCATAAATGGACGTATCCCTGTTCAACGGAACTAAGCGCCAAATTGAGTTCCTTTTGAGAGTTTCAGAATCCCGGAGAGTGCGTTCTGTCAAACGGAACTATAAGCGCCTTGGAATATCATTTGCGAGTATAGAGGACGGAACGAGTAAGTATCGCGTTCCGCAACTCCGCCAATCCAAGCCCCCCGCTCCCTTCCTCCCCCTATGGCGCTTAGTTCCGTTTGATAGAAATACGTCCAAATACACCTCAATATACTCATTTATAAGCACTTTGGAGCGCGGTTAACCAAAGATGAAAACGCGGATTAAGCTGCGCATGAAATTGGGCTCAGAGGCCGAAAGTTCCGGGCGTAGCACTCGGAGCAATCGAAATTACGGCTCCAGCACCCAGAACTATCGGCCTATGAGCCCGGAAAGAACGGTATGTCTACATAGCCCGTAACCTTTTTTCAGTGTTTTCTAGTATGGTCATGTGAGCAATACGACGAGACGGTAGTGAAGCTGCCAAAAAAAGATGGTTGATTGGGTATTTCCTGGAGGGAGATGAAAGAGACGCTCAGTGAAAGGGTAGCACCAGGGGGTGTTTCACGCAATGAGGGAGTATCACTTCCTAAAGGGCTATGGAACGATAGGAGACAATGGTGGCAAAGAATCACCAGGGCGTCAGGGAAAGCTTTGAAAGCGATTCTTAAGTATGTATGACTACATGTTAATAAAATCATCCTTGACAGTGCAACTAAAATGTTATGGTGTTGTGCAGAGGAACACAAATGATTATTTGGACTGCATTTTGCAATTTGGACCAATAAATTCTGGCTCATCGGAAAAAACACTTATGTGCATAGGGAAACTAATGGCACATATATTGTTTTTAAACCGAGCCGGTATTTAAAGTTCCTAATTGCAAAACGTAGTCCATTTGTCAAGGAGACTCATGGGCTGATTTCCTCCTGGGAGGAGCAAAGGAGGACGTACTCGGTGAAAGGGTAGCGATATAGGTTCGACCAAAAGAAATGAGGGAGCGTAAACTCCCTCAAAAGTTGCGGCATTAGGATAGGGAGCTTCGGCGATTAGGCATTTAAACTGCTTCTTCTAACTTTTGGTGCCTGGTTAGCTTTATATTATAGATCGCGTCTATAGCAGAAAGGAAGCAAGTCATATCAGCTCATGCCAAATTTAAACGGGCAATTTAATTTTTTAAAAAAGAGCGTATGTGCAGATTCCTTGGAAAATTTTGAGTAATTTCCTTCATAATATGCAGATAATTCACTGAACTTTGCAAAAAAAATTCGCACAACCAATTCCATGTTAATAAAATAAAATTGCCCAATTGAACTTGACAATGGCTAATGTGGCTTGGTTCCTTTATGTGATTAACAGACGTCCAGAAGACGCATGGTGCCTTTAGATATATTAGAACGCGAGGATCTAAAAAAGAAAAAAAAACACCCTGAGACATTTAAGTTGCAAATAGTGGTCAACACGTGCAGAGCTACAGCGTGGTGTTTTAAAAATGAAATTAATCCTATTAATGAATCAAGAAAAATACGCAGCTCAGAGAAACCAGAAAATTTCAGATGAACGAAAGTATTTCTCAAGAACACGTTATGAATTAGCCTTCTTCGATGTGATACCGGCACACAATTCCACAGATGAATATTTGAACATTTTTCTTGAAATATTTTCGACGTAATCACGCAAGATTTCTTGCAAAAACGAGACGCACGTTAATTTTCCATTTACAGTGTCAAGATACTGCTCTCCGTCTTGGAATTTATCTCTGGGAAAATTTAGCAGCTAATAAAATCAAGAGGCCACTTAAATATGGAGGAAAAGCCGAAAATAAAATTCCCACGGAGTGAAATTAGTCCTTTGGCTACGACCTACAAATTCTTAATCGTCGAAGACAATATTCATGAGTGCGAGGATCAGAGGCGAGGCTGGAGATTGAATATTTTGACAAAACTCTCTTGAGAAACTCAAGGCCAAAGAATAAATAATAATGTCACTTAAAAAAAAGCGCGCGCCCGCATGCATAGTTCTGCTGGGAGCCAGAGAAAGGCATCGATACTTAGGAATCCTGCATTTTTGAGGGTAGGCAATTCGTCTTACGCAGAAGCGCGAATAGTTGCTCAGAAAATCCGCGCACCTCGCTTGAGCTGAGCTACGCTACGCACTGCGCGCAGCCTCTCAAAGTTTGAAGTTTCGCTTCTTATTCATAAAATCATTGATAAAGCATTAGTATACTATCAGGATAAAAGCAATTTCATTTATCAAAACTTTATGCGAATTATCTCGGAGCGGTCAAAAACTAAACGAAACGTTCCGATCTGATCTGTTTCCTGTGATAAATAACTGAAAAAAATTAAAAACTTCAAGCATTAATTTCACTGCAAAGGACAGCAACATGTGAGGTATGTATCATCAGATTTTAATAATTCAATTAACTTAAAATGAAATTTCTGATTGAAAATTATCATCTATTCACTATTTAGAGTTCAATTCAGAGCATTCTACTTGGTTTCAGGACATTCCGTCAACGACTTTTTGTCCGCGCACCTGTTTTGTCCAGTAGTTTACGTCCACGCGTAAAATAAGCAACAGTGACTTAGTTCAAGCGTTATATTATAGTCTGTATGTAAAATTATATTGATAATATTGAAATGAGAAAATTGAGAGAGAAGGAAGTATTGTTATGGTGACTCATTTTTTAAATGGAATGTTGCTTTCTTCTTTTGATTAATCTTTTCTAATTGTCATCGGTGAACATTTGGTTTTATTTCTATCCTTAAATTGATCGCCAACACTTACCTTATGTGTATATACATATATTGGGGGGGGGGGGTCTTTTTTTGGGGGGGGGGGTATTACTTCATTTTAAAAATATTTACATTTTTAAAACTTGGCAAACATTTTTAAAACCTTTTCCAAGCGATGGTACTGATATTTATCTCAAAGATCCGTAGTTGTTTTGAAAGAAATTATACACAGCCAAAATAAAATATGAAAAAGCCAAGAAGCACGCGATCTTTTCTTGTAGCCCATTTGTAAATCGATCTTTAAGAGTCAAATCCGCCCAGTTTTGAGCATTAGGTTGCGCGTACACCACGCTGCAGCACATTAAAAGCACAAAATGTAAAAGAAAAAATTTAAGTGCTTTGGAAATCATTACATTTGACACGAAACCACCTAAATAATTACAAAACACACATTGGGTTTTCCTTCGATACGTATTTTTTTTCATCAATTTTGATGAGAATAATCCATGCAGAGTGTGCAAACATTTCAAAATCATGAGTCGAAAAACGCTTACTCCGTGAGTTTAAATATTTGGGTAAAACATAACGGAGTGGCGTGCTGCCAGCACGAGACGCGCATTGGCGCCTACAAACCTAACAGGGATACTTCACGCATTGCGCCATGCGTGAGGTATCCCAGTTGGGTTTGTAGGCGCCAATGCGCGTGTAGCGCTGGACGCTCTCGCCCGCCGCGCCGCGGCGCTTCAAGCGACTGTTTCGCAACCAAGGTTTTGCACAGTATCATAAGAAATTGAAAGCGCTCCAACATATTAAATATGACAGTCATACTTTAATAGTACGGAGTTTTCCTCGCAGAATAAATCAAGATACTATACGGCACAAAAAGAGAGCGGTTGTCCAAAAACTTACCAAGTCCTACCATCCATATTAAATAACTTTTAGCATAATTTTTGAATTTCATTAGAGAAAAAAGTGACTTGATTTAGGCAGAAACATTCTTGAGTATGCCATAACGAAGGTTTTATTTTGAACCAAGAATAAAATCGCTGAATGAAAGTGGGTTTCTGCTTGATGTAAGTGACTTTTCTTTATATATAAGTATCTCTCACTCTTTAAACAAGCATTATTTTCTTTATTATGATGTATGAGGAAATATTCTCTGCGGTAAATTTAAGCATATCTCTGTTAGAATCAAGTCACTTTTTCCGCTGGTGAAGTAAAAAAATCATCCTAAACGTTATTGAATACAGATCCTAGGACTTAATAACTACCGTTCTTTTTTTGTCGTTGTCACTCGCTTTAATTTGCGTGGCGCTTTCGTGCTTTTGGAAGATGCCATCAATCATGATACACCCAAAAGGGGGCACCAAAGAGGGGTAGAGAGTTTTTCCTCATATAATTGATGCTCCCCCATTTTTACCAAAAATTCCAATTATATATTTTTCTCCGTAGGACCAAACAAACAAAGCAAAAACAAGCAAACCCTCATTTTTCCAAGACATTATACATTTTCATCATGAAAACTCGTAAGCCAATATCGTTCGTATTTACTTGTGGACCAATTAGCTTGGGTCTCAATTGGTAAGTGGACCGAAATTCCCCTGCCGAAAAAAAACGCGTGGACATAAACTGCTAGACAAAACAAGTGCGCGGACAAATGTTCGTTGACGAAATGTCCTATAACCTTGCACTCCGAACAAGACTAAGACTACGTTCGATTAAGCAGTGATATTTTTAAGTTTCGAGATTTTTCCCG